AGGCTGGAGGCTGAGGATGAGGCTGACTGGTGCAGCCGTGCGGCCTCGGCCGCCGCGTCCATGTCCACGTCACTGCGGGATCGGGGCACCAGCTCGGCTTTTCGGGATCGCCGCAGCTCCTCCCGGCCCTTCAGGCTCTCCGAGCGACCCAGGCGCACCTCTGAGCGAGAACTGAGGGGAAAAAATCCAAAATAACCAGGATTAAACCCAAATCCTGAATCCTGAATCCCCAGTGAGGTATCCGGGATCGCCGCAGCTCCTCACGGCCCTTCAGGCTCTCCAACCGACCCAGGTGCACCTCTGAGCGAGAGCTGAGGGGAAAAAATAAAAAAAATATGGGATTAAACCCAAATCCTGAATCAGAGATCCCAAATGGGGTATCCGGGATTGCCACAGCTCCTCACGGCCCTTCAGGCTCTCCAAGCAGGAACTGAGGGAAAAAAATTAAAAATTCCAGCATTTAAACCTAAATCTCAAATTCACAATTTAAATGCTAAATTCCCAGGAAAAACCCAAAAATCTGGGATTTAAACCCAAATCCTAAATGGGATATCCGGGATCTCCTCGTGGCCCTTCAGGCTCTCCGAGCGGCCCAGCCGCACCTCTGAGCGAGAGCTGAGGGGGACAAAATCCAAAATTCTGGGATTAAACCAAATCCCAAATACCCAGTGGGATATCCAGGATCTCCTCATGGCCCTTCAGCCTCTCAGAGCAGGAACTGAGGGAAAAATGGGGAAAAAAACCCCAAAATTCACAGGATTTAGACCCAAATCCACTCCTCATGGCCCTTCAGGCTCTCCGAGCGGCCCAGCTGCACCTCTGAGCGGGAACTGAGGAAAAAAACCCAAAATCCTGGGATTTAAACCCAAAATCCTGGGATTTAAACCCAAAATCCTGGGATTTAAATCCAAATCCTAAATACCAAATTCCCAATTTAAATCCCAAATCCCCAATGGGATATCCGGGATCTCCTTCAGGCTCTCTGAGCGGCCCAGGCGCACCTCTGAGCGCGAGCTGAGGGAAAAAACCCAAAATCGTGGGATTTAAACCCAAATTCCTGGGATTTAAACCCAAATCCTAAATCCCAAATGCCAAATTCCCAATTTAAATCCCATAAATCTCACCTGTGGGGTTCCAGCAGCTCGTCGGGGCAGCTCCCACTCGACAGGCGCTGCCCGGGGCCGGGCTCAGCTTCGGGGTCACCCTGGCTGCTCTCAAAGTGCTGGATCATGGTGCGGACATTGCCGGGCTTGAGAGCTGGAAAATGGGAAAAATCCTAAATCCCAAAAATACTAAACCTCAAATCCCAAAAATCCCGAAAATCCTAAATCTCAAATCTCCAAAATCCCAAAAAACCCAAATCCCCGATCCCCAATCCCAGTGCTGGATCATGGTGCGGACATTGCCGGGTTTGAGGGCTGGAAAAATAGGAAAAAAACCTAAATCCTAAATCCTCAAAATCCCATTTGAAATCCTAAATCCCATCCCCAATCCCAGTGCTGGATCATGGTGCGGACATTGCCGGGCTTGAGAGCTGGAAAATGGGGAAAAATCCTAAATCCCAAAAATACTAAACCTCAAATCCCAAAAAATCCCAAATCCCCAATCCCCAATCCCAGTGCTGGATCATGGTGCGGACATTGCCGGGCTTGAGAGCTGGAAAATGGGAAAAAAACCTAAATCCTAAATCCTAAATCCTCAAAATCCCATTTGAAATCCTAAATCCCATCCCCAATCCCCAATCCCAGTGCTGGATCATGGTGCGGACATTGCCGGGCTTCAGGGCTGGAAAAATAGGAAAAAATCCTAAATCCTAAATCCCGAAAATCCTAAATCTCAAATCTCCAAAATCCCGAAACTCCCAAATCCCCGATCCCCAATCCCAGTGCTGGATCATGGTGCGGACACTGCCAGGCTTGAGAGCTGGAAAATGGGAAAAAAACCTAAATCCTAAATCCTCAAAATCCCATTTGAAATCCTAAATCCCATCCCCAATCCCCAATCCCCATGCTAGATCATGGTGCAGACACTGCCGGGCTTCAGGGCTGCAAAAATGGGAAAAAATCCTGAAAATCCTAAATCCTTAAAATCCCAAAATCCCAAAATCCTAAACCTCAAATCCCCAATCCCAGTGCTGGATCATGGTGCGGACATTGCCGGGCTTCAGGGCTGGAAAACGGGAAAAAATCCTAAATCCTAAAAATCCTAAACCTCAAATCCCAAAAATCCCAAAAATCCCAAATCCCAAACCCTAAATTCCATCAGAAATCCCCAATCCCAGTGCTGGACCATGGTGTGGACATGGCAAAAATCCCAAATCCCAAATTTCTAATCCTAAATTTCCACCCTAAATACCAAATTCCCATCCAAAATCCCCAATCCCAAATCCCATTTTAAATCCCAATCTGAAATCTCAAATCCAAAATTCCCAAATTCCCCAATCCTAAACCCCAAATTCCTGAAATTCCTGGGAATGTCGGGGAAAAATATGGAATAAAACCCAAATTAAGGGAAAAAAAACGATGGGAATGGGAAAAGGAAAACACAAAATCCCAAAAAAAACCCAAAATGGGAATTTTTACCTTCCATGGGGGACAAAGGAACATGAAATGCTGGAAAACAACACAAAAAAGGGGGGGAAATGTCAAAATTCCCGAAAAAAAAATTCCTGGGAAAAGGGGGAGGGAGCGGGAATGGGATGAGAACGGAAAGGGAAAAAGGGCGGGAAAACTCCGGGGGAAATTTGGAATTTGGGCACAAAATTCTGGGAAAATTTTGGGATTTGGGCACCCCTGGAGCTGCTCAAGGGGAATTTTTGGGAAGAAATCCCCAAATTTTGGGATTTGGTTATGCCCAGAGTGATCTGGGGAGGATTTCTGGGAATTCCTGGGTATTCTGGGGACAATTCCAGGGAAATAGTGGGAAAATTTGGGGGAAATTTGGGGGAAATTTGGGGGAAATTCTGGGGAAATTCCAGGGAAATTCACAGAAAATCCTGGGAAATTCCAGGGAATTTCTCAGAAAATTCAGGGAAAATTGCAGGGAAATTTTGGGAAAATTCTGGGAAATTCCAGGAAAATTCCAGGAAATTCCAGGAAAATTCCAGGACTCACTGCTCTGGGAGGAGATTTTGGGTTTCCCGATGTATTTCAGGATCGGATTCCTCCTCTTGTCCTCCAGGGAATCTTTCTCC